GCTGTACTTTTTTGCTTTAAAAAACGTTCAACTCAAATGAAAGGGAAAAACTCTAATGGAGCCTTCTTCATTCATAAGACCTAAAGACCTGAATAATCTGGGAGTGAAAGATTTCAAGGCATCTTCTCATTCATTGTTATAAAAGTGGCGAAATGTTATTAAGGAAGTAAGTAACTCGAGAATTGCGGCGTTTTGTATGCTAGGGGTCTCAACGTGAAAGTGAGTGCTGGCGTTGCCATGGCGGTGACGACAACCAGAAAGTCAAAAAAGTTGAATAGGAAAAAAAGCAACTCATCACTCTTAACTTTTTGTACATTTCTTTCCTGTCACATACGACTACATCAGAGAAATGCCTAATTTCACGTTTTATGGAGGACGTCGCTTTATGAAGCGACAGCTCAATTTTCTTCCTCTTTCTTTTTAAGCAATCAAAGGACAGTGGGTGAAAGACACTCTTTATTAATGTGCCGTAGATTAAAGGAAATCATTAAATGTTTTTACCTAGTCCTCAACCATCAAGTAATAAGGGTTGCAACTCTCAGTTACCAGTTAAGTTGGATTATGTTCTGTAACCGGTATCGTTTCACCCTGTATCGTGCTCAAAGGAAAAGTGAACATGTATTTCATTTTTTTTTCTTTTTTTTTTTTTCACAAGGAGTGTATCGATGACAGATTTGAAAATATCCCAGGTGGGATATTTCCCAGGTATTCAGATCCTTTTAAGAGATTCATATAAAATAATACTCTAGACAAGGAAATCCACGATTTACTTACAAGTAGCGTAGCGATGACAGATTTGAAAATATCCCAGGCGGAAGCTTATCGATATTGTTGTTCTCCAAATACCTACAGAAAGTAAAAGGTATTAATGAGTTAAATTTGTGAATAATTCTACGATAGCGGATGGACAACTACCAACATTCAAGGGAAAAACGATAAAACTATCTTTAAACGGATAAACTTTGACAATTCGCTGTAAACGGTTAAGTTTCGAACTCTTCTCGTACTTCGTTTTAATTTATCTGATTTAGTCAGATTTGTAAAGGTACGGTAAAACTGGGAACTAAAAATGTGCAACTTGATTTGTAACGTTAATTGCTGCGAAACGAGTTCAATAGCGGTTCTGCGCGTTTCACCACAAACGAAATAGACCTGCACGTCTTGCAACAGATCAGGTAGTCGCAGGTTGAGAAAATATTGTGTAGCGAGTAGTTCCACTGCTTTGCAACAAAATCTATACAGTTTGCTCGTTTTACCGGCCCTTTGCAAACGTTTCTGGCAAGTGACGTATTTAGCGTGATTCCCTTGTAAAGTTATTCAACCGGAAGTTTAATAATTATTCACGCAACTGTCTCGTTGCAAGACAGGTTTGAACGTGGGTGATAAACCGTACAAATTCACTTTCCAACTAATTTTGCAGCATAATATTGCCTAACAACTCGCACGTTTTTGTTGCCCGTTTAAGCCGTTGAGACAGCGTCTTTTGCATGACTACTTTTTTTGCTTTAAAAAACGTTGAACTGAACTAAACGGAAAATCTTTAATGCGCTTTCTTCAGCCATACGACCTGAAGTAGGAGGTGGGCGCTGTGGACACTTTTTTGGAGGCCTAAGCATGTCATGCATACTTTTTGTTTCTTCCGCTGAAAAGACCAAAGAAGGTTGATAACTTATTTAACATTTTTGTATCAATATGCTATCCTCTTAAATTAGATAGAAAACCAAAACAAGAAACAGAACTATGAATCACACTTCATTCATAAGCCCCCGGTTATTTTACAACAACGCTACATGTACATAGAGGGAATAAGTGACGTAATAGCATGTCACGCAACATTAATATTTCACATCCTCCCCAATATGAAAAAAGAACAAAACAAACCTAAAGCTATTTTTTATCAAATCCGAATAAATCACAAAAAGGAAAAAGGCTAAATCATGCACGGTAGCAAGCTCAATGTCAATTATACAAAGGCACAATGTTCAAGAACAAGTGTTCGCATGCGTAACATGAAGAAAAATCTCTTTTAAGCGTTCAAGAGCCTATATTCACTGGAAACAACCTCAGGTCGTCAATAACCTATACTCAAATGCCAATAGTAGGCTTAAAATTCAATGTTCAGTGGCAAGTCTTCAAGTCACATAGTCCCTTGAAGTGGCCTGGTGTTTTCACAATTCGCCCCGAATGGGTTCTGGTCATCCCAACAAGGTCTTGCTCCAGTGTGTCCTTGCAGGGCTCGATGCATGGGGCTTCCTCAGTGGCAAACGATTCCTCCAGATGTACTCGGTCACCGGTGTCATCAGGATAACTTGATACTTTAGGTGATTCCTCGAAGGTCAGCTTAGGGGGCGGCTCATTCGTTCGTTTGAAATGGACCGTGTTAAGTCTGCGTAAGAGGAGCCGTCCGCTGTCTCCACTTCATATGACCTCTCATCAAGTCTTTCCACGATCATCCCTTTCTTCCATTCCTTTTGCCCCTGAATAAATGGTTTTATTCTCGCAGTGTCTCCCGCTCCTAAGGTGGGTAAGTCATGAGCACTGGTATTGTAGGAAAGATCTCGCCTTTTTTGCATCTCTCAGCTTCTCTCTCTCTCCTGACTTATATTCAGGTTCCTTGGCTCCAGCAGATTGCCGGTTGTGGGAAGAAGAGTCCTCGTCCTCCTGTTTCTGAGTCTCTGGACTGGACTGCTCTTAACGCCTTGTGATGGAATATTGCGCTCGGCAAGAAACCCCAAGTAGAAATCGTCACCGCCTTCAGTAGTCTTGCGGAGGAGAAGTTTGGCAGACTTGACAGCTACTTCCACTTTCAGACCATTTGCCTTCCTATTGTAGGGGGATGTTGGTGTGTTTTTGATGTCCCAGGCCCTTGTAAATTTCTGAAATGCTGCCGCAACGAATTGAGGACCATATTCGCTTACAAGTTCGCAGGGACGGCCATGTCTTGCAAAATCGTATCATTGTTGTTTGTCTTAAATTTAGATTTCATTTCGGGTGCTTTTTGTTTCTGACAGGAATTGACCTCTGATGACTCTGATAAATTCCTGCTATGCTTTGCCACGGGATTTACTGACCCGAATTAACATGGTAAAAACGGTGGTTTCTGTAGGACTGAGAGACTTTTAACTTGTACTGTAAAATGTCATTGGTTCTTATTCTTTTCTTTCTAGCGGGTATATTATGCTGTGCACCAAATTGGGACTTCAAGAAGCTGACCTCTTTCCTGCAGAATTTCCTGGGATTTTGTTGCTTTAAATGCAGGATTTGATCTCTGGTGAGATGCAGTTTAAGCACTTTCTTTGGCTCCGCGGGTGGAAGACCACGACGTTCAAATGATGAATTTGCCGTGGAAAGAATCCACTGTTGAAATTCAAAACAACCAAACGACACTGAGAGACTTCTTAAGGGGTCTTGAACTGTGCTAATTGTCCATTTATAAGTCATTAGTTCCTCTTAAGTCCAGGACCTAAACTCCTACCGACCTCTACGTTAATGGCTTCTTTTTTCCTGCGGTAGTTTTTCATCAAAATCTGGCAAGAATATCTTTTGATTATAGGACCGATCAAACACTGTTTTACTTATAGACATAACACGCATAAGACTGCTAGAACAAGTCTTAAAAGAACAATTTTAAAGATTTTTTTCCGCTCCAATTTCTTTCTTTCTTTCTTTTTTTTCTTTCATAATATAGCGAGAAATCGATAATGTTATTTTGGAAATTATTATGCCTTATGTTCAAACCGTAGAGAAGCATTGTCATGAAATGTCTCCAATGTGTTAAGGATAATTGATCCACTCTTGTTAATCAGCGTTCCCGAACTAAGAGAGGTCTTTGGATCCTTTTTGGTGAGTAATAGGAAATAATAAACAAAGAAATGCGTCGTTTTTTTCACAATCTCTGCAAGGAAATGAGATTTGATGAAGACCCTTACGGGGGCTTCTTAAGCTCGTTGCCGCTCAAATCCCTGCAGAAAAACACATGAAAATCATTTTCGACCACCAGTTTTTAAATCCTATTCGCATCAGTACCCTTTACAATAAAACAGGTGGGTAGACTATTCTGAAAATTACGTGTTTCATCATTGATTAGCAGAAGTTCATCAAATGTTTTATTGAACATGCACTTTGAGCAACACTTAGTACATGCAAGAATGTGTTTCTTTCCTTTTCTTATCCCTTTCGCTCAAATACAAAAAAAGCATCAATCGAGCACTTTGCTTTATTTCAATACTGTAGTTTCAATAAGTTAAAAACTTCCTTCCATGAACGCCGTTTCTAAATGTAAATAGAAACTGTAAGAACAAGATTTAAAAGTCTAAAAGAAAACGCCCAACAATTACGTTAACAAATCTCTATCTACAATCATCGTCAAAAATATTGGGAAGGTTACCAATTTTCACCTTTTTTGTACTTGTTCCCCCCGCCCCTGGATCAATGTTGGACAAAACTAAATTGTTTTTGTGCGTAATTGTTGTTACATGTCCCAACATTGAATAGGGGGCGCGGGGGGTATTCAGGAGAAGAACAAATAATCGTTTTTGAACATAGACATAAGGCATATGAAATGGAGCAATAATGTTGTTAAGTTATTCCACCTTCTCAACTACTTTTGTCCGTGATTGTCTTGAAATTCTGGGTGTGGTCATGAAGAAACAAAAGTCGACGACTTTCTATAGTAAAGCACCTCTTTAAAAGAGACACAGAATTGGTACTCTCGTGAAAAGTAAGAGTTACTGTGCGTTGTTTTTATCATTTCAGGCGAAATAAAATGGCTAATACAATTAGGTTTTGATTATTATTTTTTGGAACATAAGGGCATGCATTGTTATGATTATGTTTGTGTCGGGACAGCTTCAATGAGTGATATCTGTAAAGTATTTCACGTGTTTAAAGTTCTGTTGTCATTTATGCGAAGGGGAGGAGTCGAAATTGTTTTGTAATGCGAAAGATAGTTTGTTTTGGTCTGTTTGAAAGGTCTACGGACAACGATAACAACCCTGAAAATGGCAGAGGTAAATGATACTTTGCGAAACCGTGAGCAGCGACTTGTGTATCTTGTGACATATAGCAGAGCCGATGTAGAAAAAGTTGTGACAAGAGAAGCATTTGCCGAAAAGGCCTCACTAGGGTGGATGGAAATGACGGGTGTTAAGGTTGTGCAGTGGGTTGCAGCGCGAGAATTACACGCTGATGCAGGTGTTTCAGAGAGCAATTCCCATTATCACATGGCAATGAAACTGGAAAAACGTGCTCGCTGGCTGAAGGTACGCCAATTCTTAGACGACCGCTACGGCATAAGGGTGAACTTTAGCGCCGTACACAACACATACTACTCTGCGTACAAATACACCACAAAGAAAGATAACTTCTGTGTTCACTCAGAGGGTCACCTAGACCTAAGCAATGCGCGTCCACCGAGAACTGAGAAGGCAATCTCAGGAAAGAAGAGAAAAGCAGTTGGCCGTACTGGGGGTAAGAAAACGAAACGAAAGCGTGGTCTTTCAGTGTACGAGGTTGCCCATGCAGTTTATCCAGGCTAAGAACGTAAAATCACGGCTACAGCTTCTGTCTATAGCAGCTTCACAAAATCGGGAAGGGAAGACAGAGCTGGCGGAATTTATGTGTAACAGGGGCGGAAAAGCAGTAGATGAGTGTCTGGCTATCGCGCAGGAGTTGGCAACTGCGGAAGCGAAGTATGAAAGGTCACAGAAGACTCGCATGCAACTTCTACACGAAAGCTACTCTGCCGAATGCGTTGCCAACCGTGAGGGGAAGTGGCTAGAGGCGGCAGTTAACCTCCTGAATAGAAATGAAATCAGCGTCAGTGTTTTCGCCCAAGCTGTCTTGACGTTGCTGGAAAAAAGGAAGAGGAAAGTACAGAAACCTGTTTATACATGGAGTTGCCAATTGCGGGAAAGTTTCGTGCTCGCCCCATTGAAAAGCATTTATGGCACTTTTTGTAATCCCGCCACTGGAACTTTTGCCTGTGTTGGTGCAGAAGAGGCGGAAATTATTATGTTGAATGATTTTCGGTGGAAACCCTCCATAATAGCGTGGGCTGACATGCTCCTGTTGCTAGAGGGAGATATAGTGCATTTACCAGCTCCCAAAAATTTTTCGAAACGGGACATTGAGCTTAGCAACGATACCCTTATCTTCGCAACATCAGACGCGCCAATTGTTTACATAAAGGGGGGAAGTGTTTGCCACGCAAACACTGAAATGATGAATGTAAGCGGGAGATTGTTCCACTTCTGGAGACAAATTCCACCAGTTGAACAACTCTAGTTAATTCCTTGTGGTCACTGCTTTTCAAAACTGATTTTAGACGTCACTGAGTAGAGTCTTTTAAAATAACTTAGAGTAGCGCGTCTATTGTCTTCGCTAATCTGGTTACACAATGAGTCAAAAGGCGCAAACATGGGAGGCCACATTACTCCATTTAAGTAGCCGAAATTATTTCGTTTATAGTAGCTCCAAAGAGAAAAATGTTATATTGAATTGTGCAGGACTTTGAAAGGACTTAGTGCTATGCTTTTTTAAAGGCCATTTTAGCGTTTTTGTAAGGAAAATACCACATTACTCCGCAGCTAGCGTTTAAATTAAACTTGACTTAACTAATTGACCTTTATTAGACACTGTTTCAATGGAGTAATGTTGAAAATCACTAGTTACATTTATTTCTGTGGAAAAATGAAGGAAAAATGGAACATATTCTAATACGGTTTACATATTTTTGTACTTTGTTCGCAAGAATGTTGGTTCATTGGTGATGTATTTGGGACTTTCTTATGGAGTAATGTGGTGGAGTATTGTGAAAATCGTTGTGGTTTACTGTTCTCAAAACAGCTTAATGATTGACAGGTGACGCCATACACCGTATTCACAATTGGCGGACACGAGGGAAAAAATCTGGTGCCTAGTCATGAAAGCGAGGCGTTGGAGGATAAACAAAAATTGCAAATGAAGACTTTCAGTGAAACTTGCAGAGTGTTTAGCACGGATTCCACCTAAAATAACTTTGTACGGACTTCTTCTTAAATACAATTACGTCGGATGTCTTCTGCTTTTAATGTCAAGTAATGATTTGCTGTTTGCAATCAAAAGGGACACGTATATCTTCAAGGAAACAGGATGATTTTGTAGGTTTCCTGAGCATCAGAAAGCTTGACAAGTGGACGATGGTTGCAGAAAAGCGGCAAACATGTTGGCCCAAACTTCACATTGAAACCGAGTACGAAAGCCAGCTAACTGCAATTCGGTGAAACAGAAATATAAACAAATCTTGGTGGCAAGAAAAAAAGAAATAAGCGACAGATATATGGCCTACTTGTTAACGCAAGAGACGTCTGCCGTTGAACAAAACAGCTCAAGTCGAGATGGAAAAAAGGAAGACGGGAAAGAACAGGTGACTGAGGTTTCGAAGAAGTTATGTTTGGTTTTTGTTTGCCAGGACATTATTTTCTGGTCTTTATCGATGAAGGACATCAATTAGAACTATTTTTTTAGTATGAATGCAGGATCGATCGAGTGGAGTACGCTCAAAATTTCAACTTGTTACTCGGCAGACTCCGTAAGCAGGACACATATCATTTCAGCGAGTAATGTCGTATTTCTTATCTTTGGCTGTTAAGAGTTTTAACTTTATGTTCCATAATATTTTAAAGTTGAAGAATACATAAATAAATAAAATGATGGTCTTCTTAAACGAATCCAGACTCGAATTTAATTATTCGAAACAGAAGCTTGCCGTGTTCAGTCATGACACAAACATTGCCTTAAAAGTTTAACCTAGTAAAATGTAAGCTTTATACCACTTTTTTACCAAAAGCTCTCTGAGATAATGTCCAAAAGAAGATCAGGCAAATAGCAAGCCATAAGATTCACACACTACAGCTTCTAATTTTTGATAAAATTATTTTTAATTATTTCGTAATGACAAAGAAATCATGAGATATTTGCTAAGCTCTGCCAACTTACCTCGAACAATTCGCTCCAAAGCGACGGAATTAATATGATCCAAAGGCAGTTGTAAATACAGACATACATATACACATAGATATGTATAAAATGACACTGACATGAATGAATAAGCCTCGTGAATGAATCTTTCACCCGCTCTCGACTTGACCTGTTTTGTGTAATGGCGGAGGTCTCTTCCGTTGACAAGTAGGCCATATATCCGTCGCTTATTTCTCTTTTTCTCGCCACCAATATCTGTTTTTATTTCTGTTTTACAGAATTGTAGTGGTCTGGCTTTCGTATTCGGTTTCAGTGTGAAGTTTGGGCCAACATGTTTTCCGCTTTTCTCCAGTCAGTGCCCACTTGTCGTGTCGAGCTTCTGATGCCTGGGAAACCTACAAAATCATCCTGTTTCCTTGAAGATATACGCGTCCCTTTTGATTGCAAACAGCAAATCACTACTAAACATTAAAAGTAGAATACATCCCACGTAATTGTATTTGAAAAGACGTCCATACAAAGTTATTTTAGGTGGAATCCGTGCTAAACACTCTGCAAGTTTCACTGAAAGTCTTCATTTGCAATTTTTGTTTATCCTCCAACGCCTCGCTTTCATGACTAGGCACCAGTTTTTTCCCGCGTGTCCGCCATTTGTGAATACGGTGTATTAGCGTGAAAAGATAATCACACTGTAAATTGTCGAAGCTCCAATTTATTACCGGGGCCCAGCCGAAGGCTGGCACCGGTCTTAAGAGGCCCTGCGCCTAAGAAACGACCGATGATTTCCGGCTAAAAAATAAAATCGGCCGATTTTTATCTCCTAAGTAGAGGTTACCGAATACTATTCAAAATTGAATTTCTTTTGTTTCAGTTTCGCTGTAAACCAAAAATATCGAGCCGCAAACTTTTTCCGTCTGATAGCAGCAAAATCAGGCCTAAAATAAGCCCTCGCAAAAAACGGTTCAGAAATCACTATCGCAAGGCAAAATAGCGAGAAAACCACACAGTGATGAAGAAAAAGGCCTTTTAATGCAATATCATTCGATAAAAATCGAAAAACTTCCGAAGGGAATAAAAAATAGATGGAGCGTTGGAGCTGATTTTAAAATAATTATTTCTCAAAAGTCCAACACTGTTGAAAGCAATCACAGTGATTAATCAGACATTGGAGGGATATACATTACGATTCTGGAAAAACATTTTTCGGCCAAAGTATATTGACGTTGTACAAAGCGTTCAAAGTTGCAGTGTTTACCGTTATCTTGCTACTTCGGCGAAACACTTCTCTGTTGCCAATCACCCGGCCGTGGATAGCGTGGCAAACGCCACTTTAATCCTTGCTAGGCACTCAGAGACCATCCTAAGTAGAAGAACGTAGAATTAAAAGAGAAAGGAAGATGAAAAATAGGCAGAAAAGGAAAAGAACTCGAAATTACCATCTGCCGACGAAACTTGAATCTGGAAAATGTTGTCGCGTGACAGCGGCCAATGACGTCATTTGTCTAAACTGCGGCGGACATGAGGATCCGCAAGCGACTTTTTTTTGCGATCAGCATGATTTCTTAGTTGCTACGGACGCTTTGTTTTCAAAAGGTGACAATAGAATTTCCTGCTGTGGGAATTTAATTAGTAGAATTAATTTCTGGCCAAAAAACGTAATCCGATAAGGTGTCAACCCTGTCATATGCCACTACAGTAGTAATCCTTTTGAAAGCTCAGAACGTGTTCAAGATAGTAAAAACCAAATGAAAATACAACGCTATCCATTATAAAAATTAAAATAAAGCAAAATTAAAACAATTTTGCTTATAGTAAAGTATATGCCTTGCAAAACCTTCAAGTTGCGTTCTAGATAATTTTTTACCAGATTTCAGCACGAGGAATCCACGCGCCAGGACGCGCGGACAGCAACGATCAGGAAATAAAGCGAAAGAACGAATTGTCTTTTCAAAAATATATTTTCCCTTTCAGACTGAAATGCTTCAAGGCTAAACGAGATTTTGCCTATTGCCACTGGCCGGTGCTATCTCACGATAGCCGATCTGTAGCGAAGACACAGAGTCCAGTGTAAATATTCAGCCGCTTTTTAGGCATGCGGTTGCCTGCAGTCTTTATTTATGCGTCGTAATGTCAAAACAAAGAAACAAATCAGCAAGTCGAAAAAAGGATTGTGCAAGTAAAAGTATAACCCATCCTACAATGGAATTAATTGAATTTTACTTAATATGGTATGCTTTTGGTATATAGCGCTAGATCTGTCACGATACTTTGTCAGAAGATTCCTGAGAGTGAGAGCCACGAGTTATGGCGGTGTACATGTGTGACGATCCTCGTCTATTCTATTGCGCCAGTTTTTTCTCTCCTTCGCTGGATACCGAAAAGACTTGGTATCATTGCTTTGAATTCCATCCTATGTAATGGAAAGCTATTCATGTTCGGCTCCTCCGATTCAGTCAAGAGTTTTAGCGAGGAATTTCAGCAGTCTGACGAGATAGCGTTCTTGCTTGTATGAGTTGGTTCTCCGTGCCGTCGATGGAGGGGGCTTTTTGGTCCGCTGTCGCTCGATATCATTCGCCACAAGTTCCTTAGCTAAATCCTGTTTCTAGAAGAGGATTTCAAGAGGTGGTCGACTGGATCAGTTCATTTTGATTCAAGGGTTCTGTCCATTGGCGCCAAAATCGAATAGCCCGCCAATTCCCCAAAATAGCCCGCCAATCCAAAATCTCTGTACACATCCTTCACTCAGGAAACAACCAAGTAACAATGGGTATGACTCGTTTTTATTAAATAACAAAGTCAGTATACCAACTTGCATAGCAAATTGTTAGAAATGAGGTCAGTTAGTATAGGTAATAGCATGATTTGTAGTGATATTTGGCATAAATACCACGAGTGATATTTCGAAATTGTTATACGTAATTTCACAAGCCGTTAGGCGAGTGAAATTTGAGACAATTTTGAAATATCACGAGTGGTATTTATGCCAAATATCACGTACAAATCATGCTATTATTTGTTTATACTACTACCCACAAAAGGTTTGTAATTTTCACATGTAGGTATTTCAAATTAAGCTGAAATACCACTGCTCTAAGCCAATCAAATTGCAGAAATTTCTCATGTAGTAGTATAAACCAGTTTATTGTTGGTTGAAATATCATTTTCTTGTAATTATTGTGGGACATAATTTTTGAAGCCCATTGTTTCTCCCTTATTTAAATTCAATTTTTTCTCATTTCACTTTAATTCCTGTCACTTTCCAATGTTTTTTTTTTTCATAAAGGCTGATCTCAGAAACTGTTTTGCAAATGTGATTAGGCATACAG